GATGAACTGCATGGAGGACAGGGGGGAACGTGGGGGTGGTGTTCAGGCACAAATGATTTTTTAGCTGAGAGTTGAGAATGAGCAGCAAAGAAGGTTTCCTGATTAATGGTAAAAGGAATAAGGGAAGGAGAATTTTAAGGGGGTGCTCTGAGTTCCGATGTAGGTTCCCCTGGACCTTCTAGCAACAGTAACAAAAATGTGATTGCTTCTGTTTGCTGGGCTATTTCTTTGAATTTAACGTCATCAGAGGATGAGAATAATATTAGGTTAAGCCTATGAAAGTACTGACATTTAATAGCTTTTGATCCAGAAAAATGTCAATTTCATATGGTTTAATTTACTAAAAACTGGTATTACATGGTATTACCATGTGACAGGACAGTCCCAAATGCTGTATGCGTGCCAACCCATTTGGTCCTCAGAGCTTCTCTCAGAAGTAGCTATTGTTTGTCATAGCCATTTTATAATTGAGGAACCTGAGACACAGAAAAATTTTATAAAAAGCATCCCAACTAGCAGGCATGGTGGTGCATGCCTATAATCCCAGCACTCTGGGAGCCAGCAGCAGTGACCATTATTCTAGATAATTTAGTGGCTTCAAAATAAAAAAGGCTGGGAAGGTATTTCAGTGCATAAAGCCCTGAGTTCAATCCCCAGTACCAGAAGAAAAAGAAAGAAATAAGAAGAAAAGAATGGGGCCCAGGGAAGAAGTATCAGGTAAATGCCACTGATCCAGGATCTGGATCCACTGGGCTCCAGGCCCAGTGCTCTGAACCCCACAAGTCTTTGGCTCTTATGTACAAAGTGCTGAGCTGAATGGCACAAGGAACAATCTCTGTGAGATCAGCTATCATTTTAAAGAAGCAGAGGAGGTGGGGTGCAGTGGTGCATGCCTGTAATCCCAGCATGCGGGAGGCTGAGGCAAGCAGAATGGTGAGGAGTTCAAGGCCAGTCTGCACTACACAGTGAGTTCAAGACCAGCCTGGGCTACACAATGAGACCCTGTCTCAAAAAATTTAAAAAAAAATCCTCCAAAGGCTCCATGTGCTCATGGGCTGAGCTTGGGGAAGGTGACTGGATCGTGGGGGTACTGTACCTGTCAGTGGAATTATCTACTGGGAAGTTCAGCAGCTGAGTGTGCAGCAGGAAGGTGAGGGCGGGGAAAGGCAGGTCACTGGGGAGGATCCCGTCTCCCTGCTGTTCCCTTCCACGCTCTCTCTGCCTCCTGATCACAATGACAAAAACAGCTTTTTCTCTGCCCAGCCTCTTCCACCATGCTGCTCTACCCTGGAGCCAACCAATCATGAACTAAAAACATGAGTCAAAATAAAACCCTCCTCCTTTAAATTGTAGGTTCCAGGCTTGTCCCATCCATGAGAAGGACACTAAGACAGCCTTAAGTGACTAGAAGACAGAAATTGGCCAGAAGAAAGGCCCAGTGGCAGCATGGTAGGATGTCCCACGCACAGAGGAGATCCCACTCCACTGTACAGAGTGGAGGTTGCTGGATCAGTGACTCCTCCACACAGAGGGCAGCGGGGACAGAGTCCAGTCCCCTGCCCACTACCTCTGCAGTCGAGGAATTTTTCCAAATGTACTGGATATATTGCTACATATCAAGTCACTCCACACTTTACCAGTTCAAGTTTTAGCTTCAAACAGCAAATGTGTTTTATAGCCCAGCTTCTGTGGGTCAGGAATTCAGGCACAATGTGGTTAAGTCATTGTGCTTGACAGTCTTTTGTGCAGTTTCATCGGAGATACTAAGAAACAGTCATCTAAAAGCCCAGTGAGGGCTGGAGGCCTCATCCCGGAGATGGTGCTCATGGCTATTGGAAGGAGATCTCATCTCCTCTCCACCTGGCCTTTTTCATAAGGCTCCTTGAGTGTCCTCACAGCATGGCACTAGTTTTCCAAGGGTAGGTGGTCTCAGAGAGACACCAAGATGCTGCAATGTATTGTATGACTTAACTCTAGAAATCACACATCATTTTCCTAATATCCTGTTGTCTGCTGTGGGATGGGTCTATAGGAGAAGATGAAGCATAGGGACCACCCTAGAAGTTGCCTATCCCATTGAGTTCCTAAAATTCATCAATATTTAATCACAAGGGCCAAGAGGTCTACAAAGATATGTTTTATCGATTATCATATCCTCAGAACCAAAAATGATGAGGGCACATAACACAGGAAAGATTCAATAAATAGTTTACAAGTGAATGAGAGGGATCACAAAGAAGAGGTGGCACCTCAGGGTTGGATGGAATCACAAAACTGATTAAGTTTTTAAAGCTTCCTTGTTTTTTAATCAAGAACAAGCATTCCTTTCCTACAAATACTAGGCAGAGAGTAACATTCCACCATAACCCTATCCTATCCTACAAATCAAGGAAACCACAGTTAAAATGCATGGAAATGGAGACAAACTCAGAGTACGAGCAATTGATAGACTGACCAAAGAACCAGAGACCGTGCCTGGTACAGAGGAGATATCTGTTAGCCACTTTGGTCAAATGTTTACAGGTTAGTATGTGTCTACGCAGACTGTATTTTCTGATGATGGCCATACTTAAATATTTATCTCAACCAGCATGCGCTTCTAAAAATATTCCTGAACTCCTCACACAGAGAGATGGGGTATGACTTTTTTTTAATTTTTAATCTGGGTGGGAGCTTGTGATCTCCCTCACCCACAGAGTGCGCGATAAGTGATGCTATGTGACCTCTGAAGCTAGGTCACAAGAGACCACGTTAGCCCACAGGTGCTTCTCCGTGTGGAACCAGGTCCCATGTTGCAAAGACTCGAAGGCCACAAGGACAAGCCACATGGGAACGTTCTTGTGAGGGTATGTGTCACCAGCAAGAGAGCCAGTGTGCTTTCCTGACCCCAGCCCCAGACTCTGCATCTTTCATTTGAAGTCCCAGGCTAACCCCTAATATGCCTAAACTTCTAGCCCACGGCAGATAACACAATTATAATTGTTTTAAGCCACCAGGTTTTAGGATCATTTATTATGAGCAATAGCTAATTAATAAAATCTTCCAGAATTCCCTCTAGTTTCAAGGGAGAATTGTCTTTAAAAGACACTTATGTATATATTCACTCATTTATTCACCCAACTGTGTGACTCAAAATGGTACATGGTATTTGGCTTTCTCTACAAACCCCATGAACTAAGCTGGAAGTTCTGGGCATGGAGACAGGGTGTTCACCCAAAACAAAGAGTAAGGAGGGAAGGAGGGATGATCATGCCTGGCCATGAATTCCTCACGTGCTAACACTTCCCATGATGACAACAGCCATGTGAGGACAGGGTTGCTCAATTGTCACCTAATTCTCAGGTTTCAGATAAGAAAAGTCAGACCTGGAAAAATAGATCATTTGTTTGAGTTATTCCCTCAAGAACCTGAGGCTAGCAAGATGGAATTCAAGCCTGGTCTTTCTGATGAGTCCTGAGCTATGCCCTTCCATTGCCTCCCAGCTTAAGAGGCAGAAGTGCTTGTAGGGAGCAGCTGAAGCAGATTGACCACGCCCAGAGAGCCTGCCAGCTGGCCCAAGAACAAAGACTGCCAAAGACTGTGGGTGAGCCACAGAAACAAGTGACTCGGGACCCTAAAACCAGGCCCTTAGGTTACCATGCATGTCCATTACTAGGCAATGGGGTTCATGTGACATTGAGTCACTAAATGTATAAAATAAACACCCCTAGTAAGGGCCAGTTTCTTTCCTCCCATCTGGAGAAAGAGAGTTCTAGCAGACCCCGGTTTTCCTTTTCCTGTGAACCTCAAAGCCGCACATTGGTCGCTGCGAGTGGTAACTCTGGAGAAACTGGCTTGATCCAAGTCACATAAATCACTCCCAAGAAGCTCCTTATGCTGCAGCCCAGGCCTGCGTGGTCTTTTGTGCCTGGAGACTGGGATTGAAACAGCCCACACTCCTCATGCTGAGATTTCTAATCCACTTTAAACACAGAAACTACAACTCCCAGGCCAAAGAACAGGTCCCTAAAGTGTGACGGTGTTAACTCCACCACCACTGCTCTCCTGGGAATGAGGTGATGCCGATGAAGGCCACCCCCATCAAGCCGGTCTGCAGCAGGGGCTAGGGCCGAGGGCCAGAGAACCTGGTGCCATCCTCAGTACCTAGCCAAGAAAACCGCAGACGCGGCAGCCCTGCTGATTGTTGGCAGCCTTGCCAGCAGGGACATCATCTGTGGATGCATGGTGTCCAGAGTCTGTCTGTCACAGCAATTTGTAGGCAACGGTAAAGTAGGGCTCAAAGAATAGCTTCGGGATTTGAACAGATTTACCTTGCCCAAAGTCTTATGGAAGCTATTTATGCCCTTGGCCAAGTTAATTTCTCTAAGCCTGTTTTTCTACCTACAAAAGAGTAATATCAAACTTACTTCATTTAGTTGGTAAAGATTAAGTCAAATAATGCAGGTTAAATATCTGATTTTGGGTGTATGCACACATACATTTCCTCTGTATAACAGTGTAAGCATATAGAAAAATATTTAAAATGTACACAATTAGAATTTTTCTTTTAATGTTTTTTGAAATAGAGTCTTGCTCTGTAATTCAGGCTGGCCATGAACGCCTCAGCCTCCCCAGTGCTGGAACTGCAGGTGTGTACCACCACCCCTGGCTGCAAAGTTTGCTCTTAAAAACATCAAAACCAAATTATATTTAAATCAAGAAAACTGCAATACCTAGGTCAATAATGGCATCTGCACAATCTGCAGACAGTGCCAGGCCAACCCTCAGAAGCACTTACAGTGAATTCCACACTCTCTCCCTTCTCACCGCACTGACCCCGGGCCCAGCTCCCAGGGGCCCTGGGCACTGCCAGCCTGTGACACAACAGGCGCCTCCAAGTCTCCTTCCTCCTGGGCTAAGTGGGCTCTGGCCCCGCCTCCCGGGGGGCAGTTTGCGCCTCAGGCTCCTCCCACCCGCCGGCGCCCCGCCCAGCTGGGACGGGGCGGGGCCTGGGGTCGGGCCTGCAGCGTCTGGCCCAGGGCGGCCCCCCCCCCCCGTCCCCTGCTGAGTCAGCCAACGCCACGCGCACCGCGTGACCGCGGCCACGTGACCCGCGCGGGGCGGGGCGCCTGCGTTCTCGCCGCTGCAGCCGCGGGAGACGTCCTCGTAAGTGGGGAGCTGGGCAGGCGGGATCCTCCCGGCGGCGGATGGGGGTCCCGGGCGCTGTACCGGTCCTCTGGGGCCTGGCCGGCGACCCGCCCTCACCCCTTTCCCCGGGAGCCAGAGAGGCCTTGCGGTGGGGAAAACACGACCCCACGAGGCCCGGCCGGTCGCCTCTGCCTCGGGCTCCCCCACTCAGTGATTGCAGTCCTGTGATGGGGAGTGGCCAGTGCCTTCCTCCGGATGGGTTACCTGTATCCCTTGTGCTTCGGGGGAAACTGAAGACCCAAAGGGTTCTGCCGAGTAAGGCAGCCTTGGAAGCACCCCTTACCCAGAGCTGAAAGGGAGCTCAGGTCCCGAGTGGCAGCGGCCTCCACCTGCTATAGTGGCTGCAGAGGGTCCCGCAGGCACAGGGTCTCCAGCCATTTAGAGGAGATACTACAGCTCCCAACCTGCGGATTCCGATACTATCCAATTCGTGCGGTTAAGAATAGGAAATTTTCTTTTTTTCCTTTTAAATTAAAAAGGAAATTTTACTGAGGGAGAGGCAGTTCCTGAGACGCAGGAGGGGCCCCGAGTGGGTTGCCATGGACCCTACTTTCCAGAGGAAGTTTCCTAGCAGAATCACAAGGCAAAAAGCTATCATCAACCAATAAGATTACAAGTATAGCTTCTTAGGTAATGTCGATCCAATGGGGAAGCAAGTCACGTAGCAAGTGTTGGAGGAAAGAATAAGGAACTTTTCAGGAAGGGATGGGTCCAAGGGTCTTGGTCCGCCACCAGAGGGACTGATTTCTGTCTAGAATGTATTGGATCAGGAGTTGCCATGTACCCCTCGAGGAAGCTTGTGGGCCTGGTCATTGCATCTTTATCTTGAGGCTTGGCGTGGCACACATGCGTCCCCAGCCACAGCTGTAATGCGTGTTCATCTTTCGTCCTTACTCTGAGGGCCTAACCCCGTCTGACTGCCTATAATATTTCTTTTTTTTTTTTTTTATCGGTACTGGGGATTGAACTCACAACCGCCAGCTTGCAAGGCAGGTGCTTATGCCGCTGAGCTAAATCCCAGCCCCTGCCTATAATATTTCTACCCAACTTGGCTATGTCAGGAACTGCCAGTGATTGAGAGAAAATCTAGGTGGCAGCGTCCACCCTGGATGAGATTCGGGGTGTAGAGAGCAGGACTTGAGCTGCAAGATAATAAGGATCAACCTTGATTACTACCTGGTTTACTCCATTCTCTCATTTACTACAGTATTCCTAGCTTAAGACCAGGAGGTAGGTACTAGTGTCCACATTTTCGTGTAGCACCAATGGGTTCAGATGCTGCTTTATGAGGTTGGGTCGTTGATTGATTAAAAAAAATGGGAGCGTTGAAATTAGAACTAGCTGTGCCTCACAGTAGCACCTTCCTTTCCATCAAGCTTGTTGCTCTGAGCTGAAAAGTCAGGGCCTTTCTCTTACCCAGTTTGGAAAGGAAGTCGGTGCAGGGTTAGAGGGGCTTTTTCCTCAGCCCCAACCTTCTCCATTTCTTTTCTACCCCGGCTCCTTCCTGTTTGTTCTGTCATGTCCTCTCCCCACCGCAGAAGAAGATGAAGCTCATCATTCTGGATCACTACTCACAGGCCAGCGAGTGGGCCGCCAAATACATCCGGAACCGTATCATCCAGTTTAACCCGGGGCCAGACAAGTACTTCACGCTGGGGCTCCCCACCGGTGCGTTGTGGGATGGAGAGGCGCTGGAGTGTGGTGGAGAGGGAGGGTGTCAGAGACTGTGAAGGCCTCACTTAGCTGGGGACTAAAAGAAGGCTGGAGGTACTGGTGTCCTGAGGACGCCAGACCCGCTGCCCACACCAGACAGACTCAGTTTCCTGTACGGGTGGCTGTGGTTGGTGCCCATAGGATCCTGGAACCCAGGGATTGTTTTTACTCAGAGAGAACTTGATTTTTAGGTTACATCCTAGGTCAGCTCTGTCATCCAGGATTTCTTAGCAGCATTAAGTCCTGATGCCTGAGGCGTTCTTTGTATGAAATGAATTAATTTCCCTTTAGTGCGTGTAGGGAGTACCAGCTAAGGACTCTCCTTAGGAGAATTGACCGGATGGTCTCTCAAATAATTTTCCTTAAGATTTAATTGAGCAGAGAGCTTAGGTGAAAAGCAGTCCCAGTTTCTTCTGGAAAAGGCCAGAATATTAGCTTTACAGGAAGATATTTTGACCCCAGTTCCTCAAGGCAAATGTCCTGATTATTTCTTTTACAGTGGGGATTTGCTCTTGAGCTCTTACTGTTTTAGCCCATCTGCTAGAACGGCCGCCTTGAAACTTTTTCTGTATTGACCACCCAGTAAGTACTTCAGGCTTCATGGCTGCAGCTGCTCAGTTCTGCTGCTGGAGTATGAAACAGCCTCAGACCATACATGAATGAACGAGTGTGGCTGTGTGCCAGTAAAACTTTATTTGCAGACACCTGTTTGAATTTGTGTAACTTTCTGGCATAAAATGTTCTTTTGATTAAAAAATATTATAAAAACCTGTCTTAACTCCTGAGCTGCAAGGAAACAGGCAGTAGGTGTGATCTGGCCTTTGGGCAGGAGTCTTCTGAGCTCTGCTCAGGAGGCTTGAGGAGGTCCGATTGCCTGCACCTGTGAAACCACTGATGCCCCAGACCCGGGGGGCCGGGATAACATCCTTCTCCCTGACCAGAGGGAACCACCCTCACCTGGTCAGTGTCCGGTTCTGTGCAGCTCCTCCCAAGTTCCCGTTACCACAGAATCAGGTCCAGCTCCTCCAAGTGGAATTCAGGGCTCTTCAAAACGCAGCCTCTCCTGCCTGTCCTGCCTGCACCCCTGTAGCATTTTCAGCCAGCCTCGGCAGAGCATTCTTTCCACGACATGCATCGCTGCTCAGTTCTGGGTAGAAGCTATAGGAAACAGCAAGCTGCAAGGAGCACTCAAAGCGTATTGGCTGTGTATTGGGGAGCTCAGAGACTTGGCAGGAAGGTGTCAGGACAGGCATGGCGAAGACCTGGTCACAGGTACCAGAGGAGTAGTGAGTTGGCAAGAGGAGCTGTCACCGCCGTTCATTCAGTAGATACTGAGTGCCCTCAGGAAGCCAAAGATCTCTAGGAATGCAGCAGCACACAAAAGGTGGTAAGTTTCTCCCTCCCAAAACTCTAATGATAATGGGAGATACAGATAGTAAACACATTAATTAGCAAAACAGAGAGTATGTTAGATGGTATTAAGAGAAAAATGAAGCAGTCAAGAGGGAAAAGGGACCATTTAGAAGTGCATTTGTGGTGTCAGATATGTTGTCAGGGAAGCTCTCTCTGAGGAAGTTATATTTGGGGAAAGATTTGAAGAGGTGAGTTAGCCATGCAGGTACATGAAGGCAGAGTGTGTGCATGTGCAAAGGCCCTGGGGTGAAATACCCAGTGCAGGATGAGGAGTACCATGAAGAAGCCAGGGACTGGGTTTTGTGGAACCTTTGTAAGGATTGGTTATTACAGAGAGTAAATGAGGAGCCATTGTGGGCTTTGAAGAGATGAATGACATGGTCTGATTTGGATTTTTTTTCTTCCATATTTTTATTTTGAAAAGTTTCAAATGTTCAGAAGAGTTGAAATTGACATGGTAGTTACCATTCATCAGGATGCATCATTTGTTTTTATTCTTTGGTTCATGGTCTACACACACGTGCACACACATGCACACGCACTTTTTTTCTAAACCACTTGAAACCTTACCTCTAAAACTTTCAACTCCTGACTCTGAGAATGGGAACATTCTCTTCAGAACCCCCTACCGTATCAGACCTAAGAACAGGTCTGTCGTATTCTACAGTACCATCTGAAATATAAGCCGTTTAAACACTTTTCCTAGTGGTGCATGTGTATCTTTTATGGGTGGCACAGGTCCAGCCCAGTCAGTCCAGACCCAGGTCCAGTCAGGGTCCCGCTCCTGTAGTGTCTGCGGTGTGCACGGTGGACACACCCCAGCTCCCTCCTCTGGCCTTCCCGTGCCCTGGCCTCCTGCCTTGCCTCGGGTGTGTTGTGCGAATCCACCCCTCCTGGTGGAAGTCCTCCCTGAGCCCTGGAGCACAGCTGCTGCTCCTGTTTCCTGTCCCCACTCTGGACGGTGGCCTTCTCCTTGGACAACTTTTCTCTCCTCCCGTCCCCATCCGTGGCCCTGTACCTCACACTAATACTGGCTTGGAGACTGTCACAGCAGTAATCACCGGATGGTCACTCAGGTACATATAGTCAGTGATTCCAGTCAGCAGAATGCTAGGCACTTGGGATTCAGTGGACGGACGGACAGACAGACAGACACAACCCTGCCCTCCTAGCACCTGCGTTGTAGTGGTAAATAGGAACCGACCAAGCAGTTCGGGCTGGAGCATTGGGCAGGATTTGTTTCTCAGATTGGATAGATGCTCTTGGGGCACAGCCTCCCTTATTCCTAGGGACCCCTGGGCTTTTAGGAGCTGGGTCTGTGGGGTGTTCCTGGGTGTGGTGACATGGTGGAGGCCTTTCTTGCAGGGAGCACCCCACTTGGCTCCTATCAGAAGCTGATCGAATACTACAAGAACGGGGACCTGTCTTTTAAATATGTGAAGACCTTCAACATGGATGAGTACGTGGGTGAGTCTTTACCTTTAGAGATTCTTGTATGATTCCAGGGGAACCATGCTTTGTCTCTCACAGGTTTGGCCTTGAAAAACAATGGGGCCTGTCAGGGAGCCAGCAATACTTGGACATCGGTTCCTTATCAATACTCATCTTGTCTAGTGTTGGTTTTCTCAGCTAAAACATGGGGCTACCAAAGCTAACCTGTGTTGGGTGTGGTGGCACAAGGCTATCATCCCAGCACCCTCCAGAGGCTGAGGCAGGAGGATTGCAAATTCAAGCCCAGCTTGGGCAGTTTAGCAACCTAGAGACCGGTGTCTTAAAATCTTTAACAATTAAAAACAACAAACAAGGAAACAGAACATAGCTCAGTGCAGATGCCCTGGGTTCAGTCTAAAGTATGGAACAGGAAAAAACCAGCTGACCTCATGGGATGTGACCATTAAATAATACTGTGGTGAATTTGGAAGCTTCTTGTTTGTAGTAAAATGTGGATGAGCACTTAGTAATTAGGGCTCCCCTCTCCCCACTGCCCCCCCCCCCACTCCATGTCGCCTCTGTGTGGGACGAATCTTGCATGTGCGTCCTGGCTGGTGTGGGTCTGAGACGGTGGCTTTTCCACTGCTGACCCTTGCCTTCTGTCACCCCCATCATTTATAATGGCTTCATTTTAAACTTTTTTTAAAAAATTATTGTAAAATACATAAATTTAAAACTCACCATCTTTAAAGCATACTGTGGTTTGTAGCACTGGGGTCCCAGCAGCAGTGAGATCAGCACCAGGAGGAGCAGAGGAGCGAGATCTTGTGTCAAAGAAAACGGTCCTTTAAGCACTTTTTTCTTCTTATTTATTTATTTTGTTTGTTTGTATTTTTAAGAAAGGCTCTCACTGTAGCGCAGGCTGGTTTTGTATTTGTGCCGATCCTCCTGCCTCAGCCTCCTTAGTGCTGGGATCACAGGCTTACGTGCCACACCTCATTTAAGCAGTTTTATAGGTGTGGTTTGGTAGTGTTCATAGTCATGCTGTTGCACAATCAAATTTCAGGGTTCTTTTCATCTTGTAAATTTGAGACTGTAATTTACACCTCTCCCCTTCCTCCCCTCCCTGGCTTTGGAAACCACCATTTTACTTTGGTTTCCATAAAGCTGACTTCTCTGAGGACCTTACATAGGTGCATGTTTTCAAGGGGAATCTGTGTTGTGACATATGTTAGCGTTTTTTTTTTTCTTTTTAAGGAAAAATTTTTACATACATTTTGTTTTTGTTTTTGTGGTACCCGGGTTCAAACCTAGGGCCTCCCACGCTGTATGCAAGCATTATACCACAGCTGCCTCATCACCCCTGAGCTTCAATATTCTTGATGATTAATACTAAACATTTACGTTCAAGATTCTTTTTCTTTCTGACTAAAAAAAGTCTGTTTTGAGGTATTTTCTCCAACCAACTGGTGTTGAAATTAGGGTTCAGACTGAGCAAGGGTTTGACTGGGGTGAACGGGGTGGGAGGTGTTGGATGAGGGTGTGCCTGCTTCCTTTCCCAGGTGGGCCCAGTCCTACTCCAGATGGCCAGGCCATCTCTGGAAGCTGAGGGTGCCCCAGACCCCAGCCTGCGGTCATCTCCTAGTGAAAAGGCAAGCGGCATGAGGGCATTTCCCAGGCTCCTGCCAGCTCCGTGGTCACAGGTGGTGCCGGTGATCCAGCGGACGCTTCCAGGCACCAGCTAGGCCTGTCCTAAGTGTGCTGATGCCCAGAGCTCCCTGATGGGTGGTCCTGAGTGTCCGTTCGACAGGGGCATGTCCTGATATCCACCCTGGGAGAAGGGCTCTGGCACGACTGAGTATCCCTTGGCCCACAGGCCTTCCTCGAGACCACCCAGAGAGTTACCACTCCTTCATGTGGAACAACTTCTTCAAACACATCGACATCCACCCAGAAAACACCCACATCCTGGACGGGAACGCAGCCGACCTGCAGGCCGAGTGCGACGCCTTTGAGGAGAAGATCAAGGCTGCGGGTGGGATCGAACTGTTTGTTGGAGGTGAGCTCAGTGCCCGTGCAGGGCCAGGCCCAGGGAGGCTGGAGTCACAGAGAGAGAGAAGCCAGGATGCCGTGCTGGGTCTGTGCTCGTGACACTGGGGTCATCTACCACCCCACAGCTGGGCTGGCCTGGATCACCGCTCTGGCTCACCCTTGGGAGTGTGCGGTCGGACGCTCCCTCTGGCTGCCCTTTGATGCTTGGCCTGTACATCGAGAGGTTTAGATCTGCACTCTGAAATCTCCAGCCCCTAGCCCCTAAGGCCTTATAGTCCAGTCCTGTAACTGAGCTAATAAACATTTGAGATATTGGATGCCTCTAGTTCCAGAAGGTTCCCTACAGCCCCTGCATGCTGTTGAGAACTAGTTGAACCCCAGAGAAGTCTCACGACTTATCAGGGTCAACCCCCCAGGGGTGGAGGGAAGAAGGCAGAGGGCTGGAGCGTCTGCCTCCAGGTTTGTGCTCCTGGCCTACCCTGGGCTGCCTGCTGTCCGTCTGTCCCGCTTTGGGAGCACCCACAGGCCTGTGAGAGTGGACTGCCTTACACTGCTCTATCTTACATCTGTAAGAACGGGAGTGGGGGGCAAGAGCTTCATGTGCTCAGAGTTCAAAACTTGGCAGCCCCCACCGAGGTGCTGTGTTTTACTTGTTGTAACTCTGTCCCAGCAGCAGGACCCTAACTACAGGCAGGAGGGACCAGTCACACTTCCCAGTAATCCGTGGAGGCAGAAGCTACATGACTTGCTCCTTGCTGAGCTTTTGGAAGGTGGTAGCAGACTGCAGTGTCTGTGTGTCCCTTGGGTGCTTCAGATGTGCCCACCGTGGAATACGAAAAGAAGTATAGTTCTAAAGGGTAGTTTTTCAGGCTCCAGTTAGGGAAGGATCGTCCATTCTAGAAATTGTGGATTCCACAGACCCACAGGACTGCCCTGGCTGTCTCTGTCTGCAGGTATCGGGCCTGATGGACACATCGCCTTCAATGAGCCGGGCTCCAGTCTTGTGTCCCGGACCCGTGTGAAAACGCTGGCCATGGACACCATCCTGGCCAATGCTAGGTTTTTCGATGGTGATCTTGCCAAGGTGCCCACCATGGCCCTGACGGTGGGTGTGGGCACTGTCATGGATGCTAGAGAGGTAAGGGTGTGAGGGGTCTGCTGGCTTTGTGGGGGGTGGGAGGGCTCATCGTTTTGTTAATTTCAGCTATACAGGTACCGCCCTAACACAGGGTGATAAAAGAATATGGTGAGTAATTTTGTTAAAAGTATACAGCCATAAAACACTGCCATGAGTGTCCCTCCCGTGCTTCAAACACTGAGCCCGCAGTTCTTGGCGTTCTTCCAGTTCCGGAAGTCCTCTGTCCTCAGTGTCTCTCGTTGCTCTGTTGTGACTACCTCAGTGTCCTGAATGGATTCAGAACATTTACTTTCATGGCTGTTTTGACTTTGGGGAAGAACCAGCAGTTGCACCGTCAGATGCAGCGAGTACGGTGGGTAGGACACACCGTGTTGCTCCCCAGCCAGGCTTTCCTTTGGATGGTGCTCGGGAGTGGCGTTCACTGTACTATCACGCCTTGTACACGCCTAGCTCTGGTTCTTTTGCTTTGAGTTTTGTAGTACTGGGGAGCGAACTCAGGGCCTTGGGAGTTACGAGTAAGGATTCTGCCACTACACTGCACTGCCCACGCTCTGAAAACATTCTTATTAAAGATGAAGGCTTTATAAAGAAGGCTAAAATCCCAGCTGGTCTTAATATTGTTCTCCTTTCTTTGGAGGTAACCAACCCCCATGAGGTGACTGGTTTGAGCGTTTTTTCTGTCTTTTGCTGACGGCATGCACTGCAGACTGCTTGTCCTCTACTCCCTTTTTATGCATCTCTTGGGCAAGAACAGCTCAGCACCACAAAAGTGGAAATAATTTGTACCTGCCTAGGTGTCGAGGACTGTCTTGGTCATTGTTTGAAGCAGCATTCCTCCTGCAACCCAGGAAAGTTGTGGTTTTAGGCTTGTGCTCTGGGCTAGTAAATGTGTGAGGCACAATTAAAATGTAAGTGTTCAGCTGAGTGTGGTGGGGCATCCCTGCAACTTAGTGAGACTCTGTCTCAAAGTAGAAAGTAAAGGGCTCAGATGGGGAGAAAAGGGACTAAAAAAGACACAGACACAATATGGTTATGTGCCAGTTGCCTGAGATGAATGTAATTTCTGTGTATCACATACATTCATAGAAAAATTTTTTTAAAAAGCACAACCAGCCAGGTGTGGGTGGCACATGCCTGTAATACCTGCACTTGGGGGCCCTGAGGTAGGAGCATCGCTGTGAGTTTGAGGTCAGCCAGGGCTACGTAGTTCTAAGGCCAGCCTGAACTACATGGCAAGACCCTGTATCAAAAAATAATAAAATAAAAATAAAAAGCACAACCAAATAGTTACTGAGCAGGTTCTTGCCACACTGCAAAAATTCACCATGTTCTGAGAGCCCTGCTTTCTCTGTTTTGGGAGCTGGATGAGCAGATGAGTGTTCAGTGACAGTCTCTTAGTGAGGTGCATTGTCCAGGGAGAGGGCCGTGGAAAAACTGCTTCCTTGGCCACCTCTCTCCTTTCTAAAATGCTAACCTCAGGTACTATCCTTAAAGGGGCTAGAGATATATGCAAAAATCCTGGGTTCTGTCCCCAGAACTGAATACAAAGAGCATCTTGAACTGAATTTAGGGGGTTTTCACCTGAGTTGGGTATCATATACATTTGATTTCTTTCTTTCATGTGTGTGTGTGTGGCTGGGGGGGGGGGATTCCTACTGCTTTCATTAGAATTTTAGAAGTATTTTCTCTTCCTTTCTGAGGTAAATGGGAAGTAGCTACAGACATCTTAACTTCCAGTTTTTTGCCCACGTCTACAAACAAGCATCTCCTCAGGGAAAAGTTCCCTATTTATGAAGTGAACTTTGCGCCGGGGATTTAGATCAGTGTGGTACAGCACTTGCTTAGCATGTGTGAGTCCTTGGGCTCAATCCGCACTACCAAAAAAATTTTTTTCAAAAAGTGAATTTTTGTGAAATGATTTCACTACCTAGGGGGTTGCTCTGTTTGCTGTTTATAAGCACAAGGCTTTGGGGACTGTACTTGTTGTTCCCCCTGAGGGCAGCTGATCTGGAAAAGGATCTGGGACTGGCAGTCAAGAAACTCCATTCAAAACTGGGCTCTGAGTTGCCGCGGGGTACGACGGTCACTGCTGCTTGTGCCTCTGTGCTCTCATCTTTTAAGGAAGGGACACAGTACAAGGAACACGGCAGTACATGTGAGTGGAAACAAAAGGAAATCTGTAAGCTGAGTTCTTTCAGATCACTGTCCAGCACTGCCCTCCTCAATATTGTAACTGTTAAGTGGAGTCTGTGCCTTTGTTTTATGTAAACAAAAAGCATTATCACATTAGCAGGTTTAATGCTCTGAGCTGAAAGGGGCCAGCGTGAAGAGTAGCCTGTCTGGAATTCAACTCAGGAGCCCAACATAATTCCTACCACTGCTTCCAAAGTCCATAGACTGCGAACTCAGCCCCCTGTGCCAGAAGAGCTGTGGGCCACACGTGGCCCACCTGATCATAGGGCAGCCCTGCAGTCATCATCAAAGTTGTCTGGAGGGACGGTTACACAGAAGGGAAGAACAGAAGCCCTGAGGTCAAAAATGACCCTGGGAAAGTTACGTCATTGACAGAGCCGCATTGCCTTAAGTTAAGGACAACTATGAGGATATAGGATAACTACGGGGAAACCAGTGCCCTCTATCTTGGGTTGTGTGACAAAGCATTGGAGCACTGAGCAGAGACGCTGCAGGTCGCTGCTTACAATGTGGCATTACAGGAGCAATCAATCTTCACCCCAGCCGTGTGGCCGGCTGAGAATTCCGGTGTCTGGACTGCTCAGTCACGGGCTCTTTCCTGTTCCCCAGGTGATGATCCTCATCACAGGTGCTCATAAGGCATTTGCTCTGTACAAGGCCATCGAGGAGGGAGTGAACCACATGTGGACGGTGTCTGCCTTCCAGCAGCATCCCTGCACCGTGTTTGTGTGCGACGAGGATGCCACTTTGGAGCTGAAAGTGAAGACTGTCAAGTATTTCAAAGGTGAGGGGGTGGCATGGGACTGTGTGACCCAGCACGCTGTGCGGGAGTAAGGAGTGGAGCTGATTTTCGTTCTGGGTTTTCAGTCAATACCCATGACTTTAATAAACATCAACCCCTACTGCCTCCCAATATGGTTATTTCCAGGGGTCCATTTCTGAAGGTGTTTGCTCTGAGATGGCAGCCAGAAAATACGGACGGAGTTGTCCGAGGGCTGTGTGGTAGTCTCCTTCAATGGCACTGAGCCTTGGGTGTCTGCGTCCAGCCTCCCCTGTAGGCGAGGCCTTGAACAAGCTCTCATGGGAATCTTTATTTCTATCACTTTAAAAGGACACCTCCTGGAGGGATGGGGTGTTCCAAGGTAGAGTGCTTGCCTAGTATGTACGAAACTCTGGGTTCTAGTCCCCAGCACCACCACCCAAAGGGAAAAAAAAAAGATACCTGCTGCTTTACTCAACCTACATGAAAATCCTCATTGACTAAGTGTGTAAATTAGGAGTCATTTTCTTAGATTTAACTTTAGCCAGCTCCTGTAGTAGACGGGGTGACAAGTTCAGGAATTCTGTACTCACTGGGAATGACAGATTCTTTTCGTGATCTTAAGAGTATCATTCGGAGATCACAGAAAAAAGAGCTAAATTCTAGGACAAGATTTGAGAGGTTCTGGATGTTACTGTTAAATGGTCAAACTCTTTATTTCTATCTGCATTAACTTTGTTTTTCTGTTTTTATAGGTTTGATGCTGGTCCATAACAAGTTGGTGGACCCCCTGTACAGTATGAAAGAAGTTGAGAAAAGCCAGGCTTCTAAGAAACCATACAGTGATTAGTCTGTGAGGGGCTTAGCATCAGGTACCTCACAGAAATGGGCAGGCCTTTCTGGAAATTTGCCTTTAGCAGACAAGTGCGGTCTTTCTTTAATCCAGTGTGGTTACTGCAGGTAAACGGGTGTTCCCAGCTATGAGGCTGGAAGCCCAGTCATGAAGTTTATCACTTAATCAGAAAAAAAATCTCTGAGAAGTGTACCCCATTATTTTTGATGTCTGCCACCCCCAAGTTAGGGCTCTCAGCTTTTTGTTCTGCTTCGGCCACTGTTCACATGTATGACACACTCCCATCAGGAATTCCTGTCCCTGGGTGCACTTATTCTCAAGGGAGTGGGAAGCAGAGGCTTGCGTATTTTGGATACAGAAGTTTTGGAGCATTCAGAGTTCCACTTGCACAGGCCTGCCGTTACCTGAGAGTCCCTGTTCCAGAGCGAGGAACAGACTATCGCTGTTGGGGATGAGGAACAAGGCAGCCGCACCGCTCGGCAGTAACAGGCGCTATGGAAAGAAAGTGGTCCCAGGGAAAAGTAATGAGGGGCGGTTTCGTGGCTTTCCTAGCTGGCCCTTCTGTGACTGCCAGGACACCTCGTGGAAGGATAAAGTGATTGCTGGTGAACCCAAGTTTAGGGGTCCAGCCAACATGACAACCTTCCTCCCCTGCAGGGACCCTTTGACCACAGGAACCCTGTGTTTTTGTCAGAGGTTTCGTCCATGCTCAGCAGTAAGGAAGAAGTCTACCAGGGCATCAGACTCTTGCCCGCTGTCCGTGTGTCCTGCCGTGGTCATGAGCCGGCCAGCAGCCCAGTTTGAGTTTAGTCACAGCGTGCAACATAGTGCTTTGCTTCCCTGCCTCCGTGAGAGTCAAGTGCCAAGACACATGCCAGGTGCTCTGGTGTTGCTTCCCCACTTAAATGCCCTGGCCGGTAGCCCACTCGGTGCCCTGTGGGCTGATGTTCTCAGGATCTGTCGGTTGCTTTGTCCTGCAGTGCTCCTTCCCGGCTGGGCTGCTGCCCTGCCTGCCTTCATGTTCTGAAGTCCTTGCAGAGTGGCTGCTGGCGCCGATGCCTCTGTTTCTGTGCCTGCTGGAAGCTGGGTGCCTATTTCTGGGAAAGATTCCTCAGAGCCTGGCTCAGGCCTCAGAGCTGCATTCGCTACCAGCATTTGGTCTTTAGCTTTCCCACGTGATTGTGCTGCCATCCCGTGTTAAGATCGTGAGCCCATGGATCAGTGGACTTGTTTACAGTGTGATATTTTCTATTAAATCCAGTATTTTCAAACAAAATGTGTCATTCATGGATCTCTTTGAAGTTTTGATTCCAAATTTTAGAAATTTTAGAAGTAGCAGGTAAGAAAGCTTCACAGTTGGTCTTCACAAGAGCTTATAGCAAGGTCATAAGCATAGCAGTACCCACTGGCCGTGGACGTCTTCAACTGCATCTAAGAGTTTATAAAAATGAAGCACCTGCTGGGGTTAGCTCAGTGGCGCAAGTGCCTGCTTGGCAAACACAAGGTCAGGAGTTTGATCCTGGCACCAAAAGAAAAACACCATGTGACAAAGGTAGGAATGAAGGGATGAGCAAAAAGAATGAGGCAACCAAATGTGAATCCCGGCACCTGGGAAACAGACGAGAATCACTGGGAGTTCAAGGCCAGCCTGAACTGTGTAGTGGGACCCGGTCTCAAAAGGAAGAAAAGGGCGGCAAAGGCTAGAGAGAGCTTGGGGAGCCCCTCAGTTGGGTCCCCAGCATCATCCTAACTGCAAGGTATGAAAAATGCCACTTGTTTTCTTAATTATAGTTAATAAAATGAAATATGTCAATATAGCCAGTTAAAGAGATTCAAGTAAGTGGAAGGGATTTAATTTTTACCATTTTATGGAAATATAATTTACATACCAACAAAATCCACCCATTGTAAATGCAGTGATTTTTAAGTTTGTGGAGTTGTGTAATACCACAATCCATTTCTACCATTCTGAAAAGTTTCACTTTACCCCCAGCCCCAGGTGACAACTGATTCGCCTTATGGATTTGTGTGTGTGCGCACTGAGGATTGAACCTGGGGCTTTGCACTTCGTAAGCACACACGTTACCATTGAACTGCAGCCCCTACCTCTATTGGACATGTCAACAAGTGGAATTACATGACATCCTTTGTGTCTGGCTGTTCTCACCATGTATGACTTTCCTCCAGCGCTGGAAATGAACTAGGATTTTGTTCTTGCTAGGGAGGTACAGTACCAGACTAGTATCCCCAGCCTGAGCACTTTATCTGTGAACATGTAGCAGTAATCCATTGCTTCTAATTGCTGATTAGTATTCTGTCCATGTAGCAGTTTGTTTGCCCAGTCAAGATGTTTAAATTTTAAGTAGATACATTCCAGAAGAAAATCAACTTTATGAGAATATGTCTACGTGTTCCTGGGCCACTGAGGGCCTGTAGGACTACTCAGGCTGTCTTGGAGAGAAGCTGTTTATGTTTTGGGGCAGGAATCAAGGTGGGCCATCTTGTTGCCAGAAAATGAGGGCAATTTCAAACGTATCTGAAGCAGTGGAGGACAAAGCCTGTTAAATGGGGTTCCTACTAACCAGACTGAAGATCTGATGAGTAAACATTAACTATAGCTAATAGGGGTAAGTTGAACCTGTAAAATAGCAAGTCCGATAGGGGGAAAAAGCATTAAGTGTATACTGTATTTCAAGAAGAGCAGATAAAATGTGTTTAAATTTTCATTACATTTAGTAAAAAGCTGAGACAAAATAGCCAATACCCAAAGTTAAAGGCAGAAAGTTTTATTATTTAGTTCACAGTTTGTAGGGGTTTCAGTCCATAGTCAGCTGGCTCCAAGGCGGTGGCTTGGCAGAGGGGCAGTTTATGGCAGTGTAAGGTAGCAAAAGAAGCAAAAAGGACAGGAGTAAGCCTCTTTTCCTCCCTTGTCTTGTGTGTAGGCCCTACAGTGGTGTACCCACTTGCACCCCTCAATCCCAGCACTACACAAGGAGCCAATCACAAGCTCTAGATTCAGCGGCCTCTGAAAAGCCACCCCCCATGACTGCGTGAGGCTTTGGGGGGACACCCAGACACAAACTATAACACCTACCATCTGTTAATCACATCTATTCATTCAGAGCACCCTGGACTTGGCCTTAAGTCCACTCTTAGTCCCCAGAAATTATTTAAATTCCAATCACTCGTTCCAGCAGCTGCTGCCTTAGGTAAGCTGTTATCCTCCTATCACTTTAATTTTTTGGCGCCACAAATCGAACTCATGACTATGCTTGCCAGGCAGGCACTGTGCCACTTGTTTTCTTATGGTAGAGATTAATCCATTTGAAAGCTGTTGCTAGGCATGACAGTGCACGCCTGTAATCCTACCCTCAGGAGGCTGAGTTGAGATTGCACAGTTGGGGTTAGAGTCATCTAACATGCTCCCATCTCACAGGCCTGTGCCCTGGCTGTCCCGCCTGCCTAGAACTCTTTCTTCCAAGGTAGCTACAATGATCACTTCCACACTGCCAAGCCTTTGTTCAAGTGCTGTCATAACGAAGTTTTCTCATGGAGCCTGTTGGTGCATTATCTATAATCCCAACATTCTGGGAAGCTGAAGCAGGAAGATTACAAGTTTGAGCCCAGCATGGGCAACTTAGACTATATCTCAAAATAGAAAAGTAAGGGCCAGGGATATAGCTCAGCGGCACAGCACCTGCCTAGCAAGCAGGGGGCCCTGAGTTCAATTCCTGGTACCAAAAAAAAAAAAGGAGGGGGGATTTGGGATTTAGCTCAGTGGCATAAGCATCTGCCTGGCAAGTGCAAGTGTGAGTTCAATCCTTGGTAAAAAAAAAAAAAAAGAGAGAGAGAGAGATGAAAAGGCTGGGGATGTAGCTCAGTATGAATGTCCCTGGCTTCAATCTCCAGTACCATAAAAATAAATAAATAGATGCATAAATAAAATAAGCTTTTGTTTTGGAGACAGGGTCTCACTATGTAGTTCAGGTTGGCTTTGAATTTACAGTGATCCTCCTGACTCAGCCTCCTGAGTGCTGGGATTAGTCATGTGCCACTGTACCTGACTTGTGTGGATTCTGTAAGGAAGTAAATAGGCCGCAAAAAGCAAAATAGGGTTGAGACTAAGATATACAATTACTTTTAAAATGTATGTGCATTTATGTTATGTACTTGTTTTTATAATGAAGGGGGGGAGGGGGGAGATCCAAGCAAGAAAAATCTGTGTTGATTTTGTACGCTGTAACTTTGGCATGAGCAGTTTCCTCCAAACCTTCCTCTGGCGCTGAGAAACACGGGAACCCTAGGGGTGGTAAGGCTTCAGGCCTCCTGAGTTTCTGATAACATTATTCTTCTTGTCTTGCTTGTATCCTCACTATGTCTACTAAAGTCCAAGTACCAAAGTCACCATGATGAAACACATTGAGGAAAATTAAAATCCCAGAAGTCAAATCTTCTGTAACAAAATACAGAAGCTACTACTAGCTTAATCAGTTATTTAGTTTTTTGTTTGTGTGAGTCAGGGTCTCTCATGTACCCAGGCTGGTCTCAAATTCCTGGGCTCAAGCACACTTCTCAGCCTCCAATAGCTGCCAGCACCACCAGGATCAGATGGAGTTACTTACTCTAGTTCTAAGAATTGGTGCCACCTGTTGGTGATGCTCATGACAAAATTAATACTTGGTGGGATCCAAACTCCAGTCAAAAATCTGAAATTTGTTTTCAGAGTAGACTCCCATGTGAACAGCCTCATGTTTCTTAGCTGATTAATGTCCTTGAAAAAAAAAAGTATACTAAGGAATTTCTGATGCAACCTAGAGCTCTTTACACCTATAAAATGACTTCACTGACCTCGCTACAGGGAAGATGGTTTCCAAGTCTTTTATCTGTTTGCCGTATCTCTATAGACAGATTGAAATGCAGTCCATAAACTTCAGGACTGAGCTGAGAAACCAACCTAATCCTATCATGCCAAAGCAGAGCTGTGTGGATCTAGCTGACCCAAAGGAGAGTCCTGATCGACTTATCTGGTGGCTTTTTTTCTTCATGAAGCTCAATGGAAAAATTACCGTAAGAGTTAAACAGTCTGAAAATGCATACACAACCAGTGAAACATCTTTAGAAATAATTAAGAAAGGCCTCAATCAGAATTTCACTGATCTGCTGAGCCTGCTAAGACCAGATAATTAGACTTTAAGGTAAGTTTTTCAGCTCCTCACCCATCCTGGGATGAATGGATAAAGTCAGACATGGAGTGCACAACTGTAATCCCAGCACTCTGAGAGGCTTAACGAAGACTGCAAAAATGAGTCCAGCCAGGACAATTCAGGGACATAAGATTCTTGGCTCAAAATAAAAATAGGGGCTGAGAATGTCGCTCAGTGAAGGCCCTGGTTCAATCCTTAACACTGAAAAAAAAAAAAAAGATATAATCAATATTTATACAACAGTAACAAATGTAAGTGCAGGGGACCACTGTGACAGCCAAGTGGAGTCTAAGGAGACGTGATGACTCAACGTAATGTGGTACCTGGGACGGAATGGAAAAATAACATGAGGAAAGCTAAAGAAACCTCCGTCAAATATGGATTCTAGTTAATGACAATGTTCAGTGTTAGTTCATGTGACGAACGTACCGCACTCATGTCTGATACCCGTAAGGGAAACTGGGTGTGGTATATAGTGGACTCTGTCCTATATCTGCAGCATTTCTTTCTTGGTGGCACCGGGGATCAAACTCATGACCTCACTCTCGCCAGGCAGGCGCTTACGCCGCCGAGCTAAATCCCCGGCTATGTCTGCAGTATTTCTATACATCTAAAACTTTTCCAAAATTACAAGTTCACTTTAAAAACATGGATGCAACAATGCAGTTCAGTTGGCAAAGGCTGGTTCTTTTCTCGACACAGCAACCTTTCACAACCTCATTGCCTTACAGGTCTTTCAAGGAGGCACCCAAACCTGTTTTACTTATGGACAATGATATCCTAACAAAGCTATACCATCTTAAAATTAGTTTTTCAAAAATGGGGCTTTACAAACTGTAGTGGATTAACTTCAACACCCAGCTCAGCTGAATCAGCATGGTGCTGGGTGTGGGTGGCCACCTGAGCAGTGTTGCCATCGCAGGAGAGCTGGAGGGGAAGCAGCTTGTCACCCCGTTCTCCTGATATCAGGTATTCTATTCTCACGTCAGAAGAGCCCCGGGCTTCACGTTGATGAGAATGCTGTGGTTCTCTTTGGGGGACTCTGGTCCTTAACTTGAAAGTCGCTTCCTGGCTCCAGTGCAGATCCCTCAGCCTGCTGGCGCAGATCACTGGTGCAGACTTCACAGCTTCCACCACTGACTTCTGTGCCCTCCCAGTGCTGATCCTCGATACAGACTTGCCTGAGACATTGCCGTGGGTCCAGCACTCAGCTGGACTCTTTGGGTCTCTAGTGTGTGGACAGATCTCCTACACGCTTTTGGATTTGACTCTTTGGGTGATTATAATCCTTTAAATTATGTATCGACTTGCCTGAGACATTGCCGTGGGTCCAGCACTCAGCTGGACTCTTTGGGTCTCTAGTGTGTGGACAGATCTCCTACACGCTTTTGGATTTGACTCTTTGGGTGATTATAATCCTTTAAATTATGTATCTTTATTTTTTACCTTTTCCCTTGTAAACTCTGACTACAACACAAATCATACTGTCTTTATTAAAATTAAGGAATAAAGATTTTGTACATAAGGAAGTGGGTGATTAAGTCTTTTGAGACTAAATACTATACCAATGTTGGGTTTTGAAAAATCGTAAATGGAAAAAAAAGTCTTCTTTTGTCATTAACCTATATTATGTAATGACGTCTACTTCTGTGACAACATAAAATGTAACAGGTTAAAATAAAATCTCCGGCAAGTATCACTAGCTTATGAACTATTCTACGTGGATGTTTTGAAAAGTTAAAATCAAACTTCAGTCTCAGAAGTTACTAAAAAATATGCTGAATAATGGTTTTAACTTTCGTTTCTTATTTTCAGCTTATTCTCTAAATTCAGGTTTTTTTGGTACTGGGGGTCAAATCATTTTAGTTATATTATTACGTGTACAGAATGGAAATCTGTGAAACTTGTTTAAACAAAGTACGAGCTCTTATTTATACAAAATATGAGCTCAGTCACAAGTTCATGTAAATGAAGAGGCGCTATCCCGGGACAGTTTCCTGCTCACTTTAAGAATATACTGTGTGGCTGGGGTACAGGTTAGCAGTAAAGCACAAACTCAGCATAGCTGACATCCTAGGCCCGATACCCCCACCCCTCCACACAAAAAGCCAGTTGCCACAGTGACAGAACACATAGCAGCGCTGTTCCAATCATGATTTTAAATTATTTTTATTTTTAAGATCAAGCATCCTTATTGACAATCCAGAAAGTCTTTACTGATTTCTTGGACACACACATTTAACACAGTTAAAAGTGATTCCTCAGTTTTCAAAAGGTAGTTGAATTTGCCTGTCCTTTTTCAAAGAAAATTCTTAATTTACTATTAAGCCACTCACCAAACCATAAGGAAAGACAGTTTTCTAAAAAGCCAACAAACCCCCCAAGTAGGAACCTAAGTGTGTATCACAGCAAAATTATTACTGGAAACACTGCTGTTAAAAAAAAACACAGGAGGCCAAATTCCCACAGCTCATTAGAGCAGACTTTTTTAAAGTCAGAAAATTAGGACCAGAACTACATTGCTGTATAAAGGTTCAAATCCAGACTAATTAAAAAATATTCAGCTTTTTTTACCTTGGGAATATATTAGGCTTTCTCTTATTCCAGCAGATGAAATAAAAACATATGCTGCGGTAGTTGACATTAAAACTGTCCTTACCAACAGAAGGCACAGGAAGAGTAAAGGGAAAACATATGGAACAAAAAATGATTTGTCTCTAAGTTCTCCTGCTCAAGAGTAGGACGGGGCCGAAATTCTTCTGAGCCAGGATCATGATATTACAGATTTGGCTCCAACCAGTGGACTATATATATCACTCATAAATATCAGCTGACCTACCGTGGGTGTGTGTTTTTTGTTTGAGAGACAGGGTCTTGCTATGCAACTCAGGCTGGCCTTGAACTCACTATGTAGCCCAGGCAGGTCTCAAACTCACATCGATCCTTCTGCCTCAGCCTCCTGAATGCTGGGATTACAGACATAGGCCACCATGCCCAGCTGTGCTTATATTTAAAAAAATTTTTAAATTATTATAAATGTCTATTCTGAAAAGCAGTAGATCGAAGTGAGCCATTCAAGCAGTTAAGAGTAGGCTCCTTCCAAAAAGAACTTAGCAGAAATCCAGGCTGGGAAGAATGTAACATGACCACGATAAGGTGCGCAGTACAATTCTAACAGGGCTCTACCCCAGCTGTACGAAGCAGCACTGAGGGCTCGACAGAGCGGCTCGGACGGATGCTTCCCGGAGACAGTCTATGTTTAGCTCTTGACCCTCACCTACGTCTTGGAGAAGAAAATAAATACTTATTTTTAACTATGTAGAGCTTGTTATAGAATATTCAATAATCTGTAGTTTTCATTCTCTGAACCTTTGGCTTCTAATTTTATCAGTTTATGTTACATGGAAAAATGGGTGCCTTAGTCAATTAGTACCGAATGAAAATATAAATCCTGTTCTTCGTTATCTTCTACTCAGGAGAGAATGAATGAAATCCTAAAATCCTGAGGAGTTTCTTAATGTACTTGAGAAAACATCAGGGCGAACCATCCACTTCCGTTTTGTGAGCAGGAGTCCACTAGTCCTCAATCACATCTTCCCAAACATCCCCATTAACATCCACAGCATGGAACAACCTGGAACATAAAATAAGGTACATATTTGTGCAAAATTCAATGTTAATCTGTCTTTCCTTCTCTCAAAAATACTTTCTTCACTCTTTTGATAATATCTTTTCTTCTACTTAAATCATGCATTGAGGAAGGCTGAAATTTGGGTTCCTCTGAAAAAAAGTGGTCAAATTTGTAAACAGTCTTTTTTGGGTCAAGAAAGATTCTCTACAGCCAAAAATAAACAATAGCAGCAGACTGGGCACGGTGACACACACCTGTAATCCCAGCACTCAGGAGGCTGAGGCAGGAGAATCACTGCAAATTCAAGGCCAGCTTGGGCTACATAGTGAGTTCAATGCCAGCCTGTACTATACAGTAAGACTCTGTCTCAAAAACACCCAAAAAACAACTCCCCCTCCAAAAAGCTATAATACAAAAATAAGGGGTAGTTGTCACAAAACTGAAATATATGGAATAGGCCAAGATTAGGAAGGTCAGGCTGTCTAGAAGTAAAAGACACTGTCACTTTCTTTTATGCCAATACTTCCACTGTACCCTCCCCACTGGTGGAATGTTGTATAACTGTCAGTTTGTCTTTCTTCTATTATCAAAAATTTATGTATTCAATTTCCAATACTAAATTTCAGCAGTTCATAGGCAGAGCTTATTTGTCAATTGCTCTTACAGTTTAATGACACTGACAGGTATAGGTATCCTACAGCAACCTAGGAGACATCACTGACGCTAAAATTGGAGCTATGGAGAGAACAGAAGTTTCACACTGTGCTAAGGAATCCTTACTCATAACAAAAAAGAAACACTTGCCTTTGGTAAGGAAACAAATGATCTCTCTAAACATCGCACTAATAGAGGGACAGCCTGACATTATAGGACGCCCCCCACCATGTTATATAACAGGCAGTACATATCAGCTCCTCGTGCTGTAGCCTCCCCCAAACCTAATCAAACATCTATCTGGACTGAACTTTAAGTTGACAGCAATCAGCAAAAATAGAGAAGCTAAATGATGCCATGGCGGTGAAACATAGGACAACTGACTGGCCTAGACATTGACAAAAGGTCAATATAAAACATTTTTAATATAAAGAGATAAAACTGATCCTTAACAACTGGGCTGGAGAGCCAGCTCAGTGGGCAGAGCACTTGCCTAGCATGCACAAGGCTGAAGGTTCAATCTCCATACTACCAAATAAACTTTGATGGTTATAGTGACTGAACTTTAACAGGGGTTTTGAGGATAACTGGGAAGTTTGCTATATGTTGGACCTATTAGATGATAATAGGCCATTATCACAGAAATTTCTTTTTTTTTTTATTTTTTATTTTTTATTTAAGGAGAAAAGAAAAAAAACAGTGAAGGGGTACAAGTTATACAGATTTACAGAAGAAAAAAATGCGCAGTAGGAAATCACTAGTTAATGAATTACATATTGCCATCTTAGAAATAATTGTTCAAGTCACAAAATTAAAGCTTGTAGAGTGGACATTCCAACAATGATACTGCAAACAGTTCTGTTCAATGATCCAATATATCACAGAAATTTCTAAGGTACTGCTATTACACAGAAGCACTTTCTTTTCCTTTTTTGGTACTGGGGATGCTAAGCCTGGGCCTCATGATGCTAAGCACATACTCTCATCACTGAGCTGTGCTCCCAGTGCCTGGAACATTTGCTAGGCGATACACACAGGGGTAGAGCCGAAGCTTTATTACAACTCCAACTTAACTCTAAACAGTTCAGCAAAGGAGTTAAGTAAAGACAACTGTGGCAAACTAGTTTAGCCTGTTTATAGTATTATCTTCTCAACTTTTAAAATTTTCCTTATAAAAAGTTGATAAAAAATATTAAATGTCAGTGTATATTCTCAAAATAAAACTCATTTTCAAAATACAGAAACTTACATATGTGGGAAAGTATGTAGATGGAGTCTCTAAATAAGCCTAAATACTTAGTAAAACACTGGACTTGTGGGTATTCAAGTGAAATACCAAAAACTCCCATGGAGTGGGTGAAATTTTGTGTATACATACCTATTAAAACATGGAGAATTAGGATCATTGAAATGTCTGTAAGGGTTTGCTCTAGAAAGTGAACCCAAGCAAATCCAACAGAAATACTGCATACAGCCAGTACAAGTCATCTTGTTACATCCATCCAATTTCTGGTAGGAAAAATAAGAGCAAAATATCAAGGCTGAAAAGGCAAAAGAAAAATTTACATGCCAGAAAGATTGTGTCTTTTCTCATGCAGGATTGAAATATACAAATAACACAATGGTAACTTTTATTTTATTTATTTTTTGAGACAGGGTCTCACTATGCAGTTCAGGCTGACCTTGAGCTCACTTTGTAGCCCAGGTTGATCTCAAACTCACAACCATCCTCCTGTCTCAGCCTCTGAGTGCTGGGATTACAGGCATGCACCACCTCACCTGGCTGACAACTATTTGCTTACTATTTTTACAAGTGAAATATAGGAAATATGTAGCAGGTGTTTCTACAATTATATACCTAGCAAAATCTCTTGATAAACAATAGATACAAATAAAACACATGACTGGGCATTAAGTTCTGGATTAAATATGCTTGGGTTTTAAGTTTTTAAATAAATATAGGTAAACACTTGGTATCAAGTTCTCCATATTATTATAGTGATAAGGCATGTCAGGAGTGGTCACATATAATGCCAGCCTCTTTGATGAGGTAGTCACTATGCTCAGGTTAGATATAACAAATTGAAACAGCCCTACTAAGTGTAGACTACGTTTTGATTTTAAAACATGTTAAGATTTTGACATGAAGCACAGATCCAATTATTTGACTCATATTAAGTGGATTTTCCAGGCAAAGCTCTGAGAGGTCAGCTATAATTTTTTTAATCACCAAGATGAATTAAAGGTTGATTATAGTTGGGTGTGGTGGTGCATGCTGGTAACCTTCAGCACTGAGGGGCTGGGCACGCGGAGCACTGTGAGCTCAAAGCCAGCCTGAACTACAACGCAAGACCCTGTCTTCATAAAAAAAAAAAAACAAAAATTGAATGCAGCTCTATTGTGTTCTTCCCCTAATCTGCTATAATTTAACATGGTTTGTCTTCTCTGAAATTCATATTGGAAACTTTCAGAAAGATGACAGAAGGGTGAACAGCAGAGAAACTCTCTCCAATATTTGGAACCCAGACACTGGAATATAGCAATGGAAGGAACAGAAACAGGAGGTAAATGGGTCCCCAGGACCCAACAAGGACCTTAAGGGGAAATTAGAGCCCATGGGGAGTGGAAAGCAACAGACTGCAACACAGAGATGGAGGCAGTGGGCAACACTTTCCTGACCCCCAGCTTGTGGTGTGAGGGCAGCTCGGAGCTGCAGAGGCTCTGCGGAGAAACACACCGGAGGAACAGAGCAGATGCTGCAGACCACAGTGGCTGGTGAGTTATGGGGGTTCAGATGCCCCCAGGAAAGGGCAATAGGCTAGTAGGCATCTTAGAAGAGGGCCAAAAATCAGGGCCGCTGCGGGTTGGCTCCACCTAGTGGCTCCCAGCGTCAGAGTGAGACGTAACAGTTAAGCCAGCAGGAGTCACTGGGGTGCTGAAGGCGAAGAACTCAGGTCCCAGCCTCAACCAGATGCAGCCTGAAGCTCAGAGGGAAGGACTGGCCCAGGCTTGCGGGGGTTTTTACCCGCCGCTGCCTTAATTCTACAGCTGGCTTACTGGGATCAATCAACATAAATCTGGGATTTGTCTGGCCCCCGGCAGTCAGTGACGAGACGTGTGCTGAAGGGCACGCACATCTTTTCTTCTGCTTTTCTTACATTCTTTTTAAAAATTTCAATTTTTTTTTTCACTTTTTCTTGACTATTCTTGTTTTTATACAAGTAAGAGCACTGTTTGTGGTTTTTGTTTGTTTGGTGGGTTCTGATCTTGTTTCTGTTTGTTCTTGCTTTCCCTCCTGTCTTATCAGGTCCCAAAGCTTGTGTAATGGTCATCTGTCCTCCGGCCTTGCTTTTCATCTCTTTCTCTTCTATTTCTCTATTTTTCCCCCCAACCCTTTTAAAATTTTCTCCCCTGGGGGTTAAACTGCCATATGAAGAGATTTCTTATTGTACACGATTTTCTGGTTTTAGATTTGGTTACATAACCATAAATCCCATTTATATGGTTAAAGGTGTAAATAGTTACTGTAAGTTTGTCACTTTCTAAAGTGTTTGATGCTTTTGTTATTACTGAATATATTACTTTAGACAAGACGACATAACTCCTCTAATCAATTGTTCTTCCTTGTATGCCAAGATTGAGATTGCCTAAGAGTCATAAGTACTACAGGCTAGTACCAAGAACCAGGGGCCAGGCCAAATCAATAGCAATTTCTCATCCCCAATACATTGAAGAGGTCATGTTTTTAAAATTTCATTGATGTATTTATTTGTTTATTTTTCACTCAGAGTCTCACTTTGTAGTACAAGGTGGCCCTGAACTCACTACATAGCTCAGGCTGGCTTTGAATTTGTAGCAATCCTCCTGCCTCAGCCTCCCCAGGGCTGGGATTATAGGCATGTGCCAGCATGCCTGGCTCTGAAGAGGTAGTATCTTACAACAGACTCAAAATCCAAAAGCCAGCTATACCTTGAAGACATCTCTGAGAAGTAAGTCATTTTCCAAGGGTTCTCAATATTAGCAATAAAGATACTTACCATAAACAATTTACAAGCATCAACACAGGAATTGAACTAATTAAACTAAAACAAAGTAATAATAAAATAAGTAGGCATAGAAGCAAGGTGCAACCTCAGACTTCCAGCTCACCAAAGACAAACCCACGGAGCAATGAGGTGGAACAATTCAAAAGCCACCCACCTGGCCTCTCTGAGGTGGTAATACCAGAAGTAACAAAGCATATGAATGGGGCTCTACAAAAATAATCAAATCAGAAATCATTGCTCAGGTAACTTTAGAGATGATGACCATAAAGAAGGGAATGACTGGTGAATCTACGAAAGACACAGATTTAAAAAAAAAGAAAAAAGAAAAAGCACTGGAACTTAGGAAAAAGATGGAAACCATGAATGTCAACATAGGAAAGAAATGGAATCCATGAAATCAGATATCCAGGAGATTAAAGACTCTACGGAAAGTATATACAGCAGAATCAGCCAATGTGATGACAGAATATCAGATCTAGAAGACATGATTATATAAGTTAGCGATTATAAAAAGAAAGAATTCCTTAAAATAGTCACAAAAAAATCAACCCAACAGCTACTAAATTATGCAAAGAATAACAACATAAGATTGACTGAAGTTAACAAAAATGCAGTAAACAGGGTAAATGACATGAAAAAGATGTTCAGAAAAGTAATGGCACAAACTTCACAAGCCTGGAAAAAGAATTTGATAAACAAAGAAGTGAGGCACAGAGAACTCCAATTACCTTAGATTAAAAAAAAATCTACCCATGACATATAATACTCAAGGTTCCAGAAATTCAACAAAAAAACAGAATAGTAAAAGCTGTTAGAGACAAGAAGCACATCACTTACAAATTAGAATTACAGCAGACTTCTCGACACAACCCTTAAGTCAAGGAGAGCTTAGTGTGATGTATTTCAAGCCCTAAAAGAAACAACCTCCAACCCAGATAGATGTACCTTGCAAAACTACCTTTCAAAATTAATGGTGATATAAGATACTTCTATGACAAAGAACACCTAAAGAAATTCATGACCACCAAGCCAGCACACCAACATGTTCTGACAAACATTCTAGAAACAGATAACGAAGATTACAACTCCATGAGCCCTAACAGATGGAACTCACCACACAAGGCAAGCAATTAAATAGAGGGGAAAGACAAGGAATCAACAAGGAAAATAATGACAAGGATAAGTCAACACATATCAGTTATAACCATCATGGTAAATAGGCTCAATTCACCATTCAAAAGAAACAGACTGGCAAAATGGATCAAGAAACAAGATCCAACAATATGCTGCATATAAGAAACAAAAATTTAATTTAAAAAGAAATTCACAGACTGAAAGTCAAAGGATGGAAAATAATACACATGACAAGAATCAGGAAAGAAAGCAAAGGGAGCTATTCTATTTGCAGACAAAGTGGATTTCAAGCCAAGACTAATCAAGAGAGACAAAGAAGGCCACTACATACCTACAAAGGGAATAATCCAAGAGAAAGCAATAACAATCACAAATTTATATGCATTAACACCAGTAAACCCAACATATAAAACAAATGTCAAAGGACATGAAAAATTAAACACTAACACAATTTTAATGAGGAACCTCAATACCCCAGGGTCAATAAATAGATCAATGAGACAAAAAAAAAAAAAAAAAAAAAAAATCAACAAAGAAATAGCAGAACTGAACCAAATTTTTGAACAAATGGACTTAGCTGTCTACAGAGTATTCCACTCCACAAGATCAGACTATTATTCAGTCATGTGGGACAGTCTCCAAAACAGACCACCCATTAGCACAATAGAACATGCTCAAATAAATATAAACAAACTGAAATTATCCAATGCATTTTATCAGACAACAGTGCCCTGATACTGGAGATTAGTGGCAAAAGAAACCACAAAAACTTCACAAATGTGTGTTGTAGCTTGGCATAACTGACACTATCTTGAGCCCTGCATTTAACTAGTGCCCTATATTTGACCCAGGAAAATGGAAAATTACTCAGGGTATAAGTCCATGAGAAAAGCAGAATGAGCTGCACCCACAAAAGAAAAATTTACCTGCTCAACAAAGCAGCAGGATACAGGTGTCAACCAAAAATTAATGTAAGATTCTAGCTAAACTGTTTCCAACAGGATGTCTTTTTGTGGTTCTCTCTTTTAAAAGCCTTGTAACTTTCCAGTTCAGGGCCACTTGGTGAGATTCTGAAACAGGGATCCACACAAGTGGTCGCTGCATCTGCTGAGCTCTGCTAATTAAATTCCAAATTTATCAATTTGATTGCCTGGATTCCTATGTTATTCATGAACCCACTTCAGGGTAGAAGTTGAGTAACACCCTCCTGGACAACTAATGAGTCACAGACTAAAGAAGTCAGAAAGTTTCTACAATCAAATGATAATGCCAATATATCACAGAACTTACAGGAAGCAATGCAAGCAGTCCTACAAGGGAAATTTTATA